CAGAGTGTTTGAACACAGTCCAGAGGCCACCTTCGAATGTCAGCTGTGCAGAGATGGCCGCGGCACATTGCACCATCGTCGTTTCAGTTGCATTGCATTCGAACAGTGGCGCCGCGAGAACCTGGATCCTTTGGTGGATTGGGCTGCTCGGAATGTTGGCCATCTCCCGACTCCAGCTGGAGAACTTTTCAGTAGATGTTTGTTTCCCAATCCCGCGGCCTGGGTGAAGCGACCCCCTCGCGACCCGCTGAATCCGTGCACGCGTCACCCCCAGTGGCCGCAGGGCGGCCCCCTGTTCATGCCCGAGGGGGCGCACGTTTTCACTGACGGGTCGGGATTTGAGGGGAAGCTAACAGGCCTAGGGACCGCGGGTTGGGCAGTTGTGGTGCTCGACAGCCAAGGCAGAATCCTGGCCGCCTTGTTCGGCGTTGTGCCGTTCGGGGAAGCGCCAGAAAAACAAGCACGAGACGGTGAAGATTTTGCGGTGCTCATGCTTTCTCGCAGATCGGTCCTCTCCCCCAATGTCTCGCTCTATGTGGACTGCGCTGCAACAGTCGGGTGCCTCCGAAGCCTCGCGGGGGCCTCGAGCATGAATTCGGCGCGGGACCACTGGCGGGCTGAGATTGGGGACCGTCTGGAAGGCATTTGTATTCATAAGATCCCCTCCCACACCTCGGCAATGGATGCGCGCGAGGGTCGCACCACTGAGCTGCAGCGTTTTGGGAACTCGGAAGCGGACAGGCTCGCCAAGGAAGGGGCCGAGGCATTCCGAATTTCTGCGGCAGACAGGAAGCTGCTCACGGGTTATGCTGAGTTTGTGCGGCGTGTGGGTGTTTACTGCGCTAGCCAGCAGGCGGGGTGCAGAGAGCTGCGCGCTAGTGATCGCCTGAATCTGGAAAGGCTAAGCTACGCCCTGCTCGATGCTATCCCTGGATTGCCCCCTCCTTGGGCGCCAGGGACCCCCTCGGAGGCGCCCGGTGGTCCAGGGGCTTCTGGACGGGGAGACGGGCCTCAGGAGGCCCAGGGGAACCCCGCCAGCGGGCAGCCTCCTGAGTTCCCCCCTTCCCCCGCCCCCTGGAGCGTGGATCCAGAACGGGCACACTCTAGAGCAGGGTGATGTTTATGAGGCGGATAGGAACACTTTCCATGATTCACTTTTGCGCTGCACGTCATGCGGTGCAGTTTCCCACGCCAGCACGAAGAGAGGTAACGTTCGGTCGGTTTGTCGACCTTCGTCGTCTTCGGGTCGCTCGTTTTATCTTGATAAATGTCGCGCTGGCGCGCATCCTTGCCATCGGAACCCAAAGAGTTCCACGCTGGCGTACACTGGGGCCCCGACCGAGGAGGTTCGGCTGGAGTGGACCCCTTTTTGCAGCCGGGGGCAGAGGCCTCCAGGGGCCCCCGAAACAGTCTCGGGGCGCCCATCCTTCCCGTCGTGAGGGGCCAGCAACCGACCTTCTGAGAGGTTTGGAGCTGGTCGGCCTCACGCGCGCAGAGCTCGAGATGCTCGGCGCGGAGCTTGAGGACAGGCGGCGGCGGGGCGAGGGCCTAGAGGAGGAGGACCCTGCTTTCCCCGCCTAGCCCGCCTGTCCCTCTGTGCATGTTCCTGCGAATTGGGTCACACCCCTCGTGGCCGTGCGCGCCCTCCTCCTCCTCTTCCTCCTCGTCCTCCTCCTCCTCCTCCCCCTCCTCCTCCTCCCCCTTCTCCTCCTCTTCCTTCCCCTCCTCCTCCTCCGCCTCCTCCTCCTGCTGCCCCTCCTCCCCCTCCTCATCCTCCTCGTCCCTCCTCCTCCTCCTCTCAATCCTCCTCCTCCTCCCACTTTCCTCCTCCTCCCTCATCTTCTCCTCCTCCTCCTCATCCTCCTCCTCCGTACCCTCCTACTCCTCCCTCCTCCACCTCCTCCTCTCCTCATCCTCATCCTCCTCCTCCTTCCCCGCCTCCTCCTCCATCCCCCTCCCCTCCTTTACCTCCTCACCCTCCTCCTCCTCCTCCTCTCTCCTCCTCCTCCTCGTCATCCTCCTCCTCCTCCTCGTCTCCTCCTCCTCCTCCCTCATCCCCCTCCTCCTCCTCCTCCCTCCCCACCTCCTCCTTCTCTCCTCATCCTCCTCATCCTCCTCCTCTTCCCATCCTCTTCCTCCTCATCCTCCTCCCCCCCCCCCCCCCCCCCCCCTCCTCATCCTCCTCCCCTCTTCCCCCTCCTCCTCTTCTCCTCCTCCCCTCCTCTCCTCTCCTCCCCCCCCCCTTCCCCCATCCTCCTCATCATCCTCCTCCTCCTCCTCCTCCTCCCCTCCTCTCCTTCTCCTCCTCCTCCTCCTACTCCTCCTCCTCCTCCGTTCTACTCCTCCTCCTCCTCCTCCCCCTCCTCATCCTCTTCCTCCTACCTCCTCCTCTTCCTCCCCCTTCCTCCGCCCCCTCCTCCTCCTCGTCTTCCTCTCCTCCTCCTCCTCTTCCCTCTCCTCCTCCTCCTCCTCCCCTCCCTCCCCCCCCTCCCTCTTCCCCCTTGCCCCCCCCCCCCCCCCCTCCTTCCCCATCCCCCTCCTCATCATCCTCCTCCTTTCGTCCTCATCCTCCTCCTCCTCTTCGTCCCTCCTCCTCCTCCTCCTCCTCCCCCCTCCTCCTCCTCCTCCTCCCTCCTCCTCCTCCTCCTCTCCTCCTCCTCATCCTCATCATCATCACGTCATCAATCACCATCATCATCATCATCATCCATCAATCATCCCCCGTACCTCCTTCTCCTCCTCCTCCTCCTCCTCCTCCTCCTCCTCCTCCTCCTCCTCCTGATCCCCCGTCATTTCCCCATGGATCCTTCCATTGCACCCTCCCCCGCATTGCAGCGTTGCCGATGGCAGGGGAAGGGGTCGCGCGCAGAGGCCCCCCCTCGGCTCGGCTTTACGACATCGATCGATGTCCATCGGGCCGAAGTACCTTTAGGAGAAGACCCACGAGGTGGCTACAGGGAAAGGGTGAAGAGCTTGAGATTGCCAGAGATGGAGGGCGGACACCCCTCCGCACATGCCGAGAGAGCCGGCGGAAGTATCATGTTGTTGTTGTTGCTGATACTACTCCGCTTCCTCATCCGTTTGTTCTCTCCTCCGTCGTCGTCGTCGTCGTCGTCGTCGTCGTCGTCGTCGTCGTCGTCGTCGTCGTCGTCGTCGTCGTCGTCGTCGTCTTCGTCGCCCCAACCTCTCCCGAGGTGCGTTTCGACCATGTTTCTCCCGATGCGAATCCACATGTCGGGGGGGGCGAGCTTCCCAAACCCAGTGCGACCCGACCTAGGAGTTGGAGCACGTAGGAAAGCAGCATCTACATCTACACCGACAGCTACAGTTACATCTACACCTGCATCTACATCTACATCAACATCAACAGCGAGACTCACATATACATCCACATCTACACCTACATCTACATCTACAATTACATCTACACACATCCACATCTACACCTACACCTGCATACATATATATATATATATACATACATACATACATACATACATACAAACATACATACACACATACATACATACATCTACAATTTCGCATTGTTGTTGTTGGTGTGCTGCCTTGCCTTTGCTTTTGGTATTGCCTGTGCTTTTGTCGTCGCCTTTGCTTGTGCGTTTGCGGTTGATCTTGCTTTTGCTATGTTAGGGTACGTTCGGCTGCGCTGAGCCACGATAGGCTATGATATGCTATGCTACGCTGCGGCGCTATGCTATGCTATGATACGCTACGCCATGCTGCGCTATGATATGATATGCTATGGTATGCTGCGCTATGCTAGGCTATAATATGATATGGTATGCTGAGCTATGCGAAACTATGATATGCTATGCTATGCTGCGCTATGATGTGTTCTGTTGTGCTATGCTATGCTATGCTGCGCTGTGCTACGATAAGCAATGTTGTGCTATGCTACGATGCACTATGCTATGCTATGCTGAGCTGTGCTATGCTATGATATGGTTGGCTATGTTGTGCTGTGTTACTGCTGCGCTATGTTGCGCTAAGGTAAGGTAAGCTAAGCTAGGCTAGGCTAAGCTAAACTAAGCCAAGCTAAGCCAAGCCAAGCTAAGCTAAGCTAAGTGAAAGCGAAGCTAAGCTAAGATGAGTTAAGTTCATATACGCTAAGCTCGGCTAGGCAAAGCTAAGCTGAGCTAAACGAAGCTAAGATGAGATAAGCTAAGCTAAGCTAAGCTAAGCTAAGCTAAGCTAAGCTAAGTTGGGTGAACCCAGGGGGCGCAACTGGGGGAACCGCGGGGCGGATGCCGGGGGAACCGCCCGGGGCGCATTCCACTGCCCGGCCCTTTAAGCCTCAGAGTAAGAACCCTTCTAGGCAGAGCCTAGGTAGGGAACAAAAATCGAAAGTAGTCGATTACAGCGTCGTCGTCATCGTCGTCCTCCTCGTCGTCGTCGTCATCGTCGCCCGCTCCTGCGTCCGCGCCTGCACCCGCGCCCGCGCCCGCCAGCGGAAGCAGCGCCTCGAGCGCAGCCAGCGCGCGAGCATATCCGTTCAGTGCGTGGAGGGCGTGACGTTCTTGCACAGCAGGCCTGCCTGGACGCGCTGGGAGCTCTCATCCTCGTCTTCACTCTCCTCTTCCAGGCCATCCTCTTCCTACTCCGCCAGGTCACCCTCCGCCTGATCCCACTCCTCCTGCCCTGGTCCCCCCCCCCCCATCCTCCTCTCCCTTTTTCTGCATTTCCATGCTGAGAGGGGGCAGGGGAGGGGGGAAGTTCTCTCTCTCTCTCTCTCTCTCTTTCTCTCTCTGGAGCCTCATTTTTAGCAAGTGCGCCTACGTAATTTCCACCGCTGGTTTCCATTAGGGCCGGTCCGTGTGGAGTCATCATGTTGCTGCGGGCTCGCGGCCGCCTCACGCACGGTGCCCCCATCCTGCCCCGGCAGGCGCAAAAACGGCCAGCGCTGAGACCAGCCGATCGATCCGTGAGGGCCCTGGGGCCCATAACCGGGCGATAACGCCCGGTGTGGAAAAAATGCACCGCCATTCAGCGGCACCGTAGCGGGTTTTTATTAACGGGTACTTTGGAGATTTGCCGAAAGTTGCCACTTTTGAGCCTCTTTCTGGCATTGCAGCGTTGCCCACATCGGGGAGATGTGGGTTCGCCGGGTCACGAGCCAAAGTACCCACTAATGGAATGCCCGTCAGAGGGGCGCTGAGCCATGATTTCAGGGGATGTCAGGGCAGCGGCGCCAGCCCGTGACCGCATCGGCCCGAGCGCCGCCAGGGGGCGGCCCGCGGGGAGCTCGGCCGCAACAGGGCCGCCGCCGCGGCACCGCCCGCAGCGCGGCACGGGCTCCGCCCGCGATAGCTGGTGCCGCGCGAGAGCTGTGCGCGGTAGCGCCGCCGCCGCGGCGATGGCCTCGCCGGGCCGCCGCGTGGCCGGCGCCACTCCTCCTCTTCTTCCTCCTCCTCCGCCTCCTTTTCCTCCTCCTCCTCCTCCTCCTCCTCCTCCTCCTCCTCCTCCATTCCTTCTCCTTATAGATAACTCCTCCCTGTCGCACCCCGAGGCAAGTTTTTAGGGCGGGCCCGGGGTGTCGCCTGAGACTTCCTCATGATTCTGAAGCTTCAAAAAGGACCACAGCTTCACAGATGGAGGGCGGGTGGTTTTCAAAATGTGGTTCTCACCGTAGCGCCGCGCACACTCTTTGTAAATTATCCCGGCAAAGCAACCTAACAGCGATATGTAGAAGCATATCTGAAAGCATTCCCCTTAAGATTCAGATGAAAATCCAGTTGTAGAATTCTGCTGTTCTCGCAGTCTTAGTCGCATTCGCGATGACAGTCGCAGCGGCAACGGCAGTCGCAGTCACAGCCTCAGCCTCAGCCTGCCTCAGCCTCAGCCTCAGCCTGCCTCAGCCTCAGCCTGCCTCAGCCTCAGCCTCAGCCTGCTTCAGCCTCAGCCTCAGTCTGCCTTCAGCCTCGGCCTCAGCCTCAGCCTGCCTCAGCCTCAGCCTGCATCAGCCTCAGCCTCAGCCTCAGCCTGCCTCAGCATCAGCCTGCCTCAGCCTCAGCCTCAGCCTCAGCCTCAGCCTCAGCCTCAGCCTCAGCCTGCTTCAGCCTCAGCCTCAGTCTGCCTTCAGCCTCGGCCTCAGCCTCAGCCTGCCTCAGCCTCAGCCTGCCTCGGCCGCAGCATCAGCCTGCCTCAGCATTCAAAATGTGGCCCAGGAATGGAGTTCTGGGAACTAGAAGAACACGAAGTGGCCTACAGTTGGCTCCGGGCATTCAAAATCATGCCCAGGAATGGAGTTCTGGGAACTTGAAGAGCACGAAGTGGCCTACAGTTGGCTCCGGGCATCCAAAATGTGGCCCGGGAATGGAGTTCTGGGAACTCGAAAAGCACGAAGTGGCCTACAGTTGGCTCCGGGCATCCAAAATGTGGCCCGGGAATGGAGTTCTGGGAACTCGAAGAGCACGAAGTGGCCTACAGTTGGCTCCGGGCACTCAAAATGTAGCCCGGGAATGGAGTTTGGGGAGGTCGAAGAGCACGAAGTGTGTGACTGTTGGCGAAAAACGAGCCCGGTTCTGTTCCCGGTTCTCCAGAATGTGGCCCGGGAGTGGAGTTCTGGGAGGTCGAAGAGTACGAAGTGTGTGACTGCTGGCTTAAAACGAGCCCGGCTCTGTTCCCGGCTTTCCTCCCCGGCACCCGCCCAGACCCCCCTGTGGAGTCCAGATGCTCTCTTTTGACCCTACTAGAAACCTATCAGCAAAAGCTGTTAGGTAAAAACTTCAAGAGCTTCACGGATTGAGGGCGGGTCGTTTTCAAAATGTGGCTCTCGCCTTAGCGCCGCGCACATTGTTTGCAACAAGTTGCAAGAGCTTCACGGATTGAGGGCCGGTCGTTTTCAAAATGTGGTTCTCGCCTTAGCGCCGCGCACATTCGTCTTTCAAAAAATTTCAGGAGCTTCACGGATTGAGGGCGGTTCTTTTTCAAAATGTGTCTCTCGCTTTAGCTCCGCGCACAATTGTTTGGGGGCAATTTGCAAGAGTTTCACGGATTCCCGTGATCAACGTGCCAAATAGGTGTTTTGGAAGGATTTGGGATTCTGCGGGTGCAATAGTTATGTTGGTTCGCGGTGTTGAAATCCAAAAAATGGCGTTACTGCACGATTCCGGATCGCCAAGACGCAGCAGTCAGGCTGATACGTGGCGCTGAAATCCCGAGAACCATGTTTTGGCATGTTTCAGGATCTTCAGACGGTTCTCTTCCAACGAGGCAATTAATTCCGTCAATGGAAATGAACCGTTGTAGGTGCCTATGACGAGGGAGCTGTGAGGGAGGGTTAATTCCAATTTCGTTGATGACTTTTGGTGTTACACTGGTCTTCCTGGTCCTCTTCCTCCTTGTTTTCCTCCTCCTCCTCCTTTTCATCATCCTCCTTCTCCGCCTCCTCCTCCTCTTCCTCCTCCTCCTCCTCTTCCTTTTCGTCCTCTTCCTTTTTCTGTTCCTGCTCCTGCTCCTTCTCCTCCTCCTCCTTTTCCTCGTCCTCTTCCTCCTCCTCCTCCTTTTCCTCTTCATCCTCCTCCTGTTGTTGCTGTTGCTGCTGATTATCATCCTCCTCTTCCTTCCTTCTCCTCCTCCTCCTCCTCCCCCTCCTCCTCCCTCCTCCTCTTCTTCCGTGGCCATTGTTGTTCAAGATGCGTTGTTCCCCAAGGGACGAAGCGGACACCGCTAGTCCGCAGCCAACCTCTTCTCTTCTACACCATTGTCGGGGACTCGGTCGACCGTATTGCCAGCGCAGTGGTCGGCACTCTCACCGGAGCCGCAGTTGCCCCGCATTGGCGAGTCCATGCCCGATGGTGCGCGCAGAGCCAAGGGGTATGTGGGCCCCAAGAAGACGTAACCTGTGCATGGCGGTCCTGCTGACAACAGATCTCGGTCTGGTAGAGGCGCAGGCAGCGAAGGGGATGGACCCGAGGACCTCGCGCAGGAGAGCTGGCACGGCGACTACGTGCAAGAGCCCGTGCGCATTGAGATCCGCGAGCCTTTCGGCCAGTTCAAGCTGGAGTGCGAGCAAGCCATCGCCAACACTGCAACCGCCGCCACCCCAGCGGCCATGGCCACCATCGACGAGGCGCTACGACAGCACACGGACTCCATCAAGGCGGCCCCTGGGGAAGACGCCGCAGCAGCCACAGCCCGCATCAAGCCCGAGCTTGCTGACCTTGAGAAGCGCATCCAAGCCCAACGGGACAAATCCTCGACCTTGCTCTGCACGAAAAGAAGCTGGACGACCACGACAAGCAGCTCGCCAACCTTCAGCTGCAGATGGAGCAGATGTGCAAGGACCTGGCCCTCGCCAACCGAGCCCCGCAGCCGCCCAAACTCTTGGGCAGGAACTTCAAGCGCGAGGTTGACCCGACGATCCTTAAAGTTACGGCAGTTACTTTGGTCACTCGCGAAGCGGCATCTCAGCCCCTCAGCCCCTGGTTCGGGGACGCGGACCTGGTCGGCACTTACCGCGTCGAAAGCGAACCACAGGCGAAGCTCTTCGTGGCACAGTTCACAGGTGCAGCAGGGATTGCCGCTCGCCGTGCGCAGCAGGCCTTCGGAGGCCTCGAGAAAAAGGACGGGTGGGAGCGCTTCACATCCACGCAACTACAGGTTGGACCAGACAAAGCACCGTGCCAGATCCGCATCGAGATCCAGGGCAAGCGCGTCATGACAAGCCTCCGCGGGACGCTCCCTGAAGACAATGGCTGGGTATCGGAAGGGCGGCGCCGCCACTCTGACTCCAGTCTTCACCGGGGCGCGAGCCCACCACCGTGCTCTGGAGCCAGGGAAAGCATCGCCTGAGCGACATGGAATGCACGCGCCCCACTTCGCTGGAGGGGCGGCACGGCACTCGAGAAGGCAGACCACCTACGGCAGCGCGACCCACCTCGCATTTTGCGTCGCGACCCGGGAGGCCCACCAGAGCGAGCAGCAGGTGGAGATCTTCATGCGGAGGATCGCACCACATTCCAAGGTCTACGCGGACGGGTTCCAGGAGGGCGGGGCGGCCACCATCGCGCCACTCTCGGACGCGGCCGCCAGCGCAGCAAGGAAAAGCGCGCATGCCAAAGGGCGCGCGTTGAAGGTCATCGCCAAGGCAGCTGGCACCAAGCTCCACCACGACAACATCCGAAGCCGCGACATCTCCCTGCGCCAGGTCCAGGTCAGCATGAAGGCTCCGTCTACTGACGCGGCTTGGCCGCAGGCAGCCCCGAGCCAGAGATTATCGATCATTGCGGGAGACATGAACTTCGCGGTCTTCGCCCACCCGGATCTACGCCAACCAGCCCGCCAGTTCCCACGCAACGCCAGCAAGTGCCACAGCGCCCGCTGGAGGCAGGTTCTCGGCAGGCCAGTGGCTAGTCGAGCCCGCCGGGGGCCCGTGGTCATCGCCCCCGAGCAATTCCACGACCGAGGCATCTCCGACCACGCGGCCCTCGAGGTCGTCTCCCAGCCCAGAGCCCCACGACCCCATGCCGAGTCGAACTTCCCCGCCCACATATAAGGCAGAGCGGATTGCGCCACGACCGTGGGGAAGCTTGTCACGCATAAAGAAAGGTCGTCCGCAGAGGGGCCCCCGCCGCTCAAGCTGATGCGGCCACAAGAGCTGACGGTAGAAGCATCTGCTCTCGTCAAGAAGGATGCTCACGGTCGAGGTCGACGACGCGGTCTACGTCGCCGCGGACGTCGAGGTGGCATTCCTGCGGGGCGCGACGCACGCCGAGATGCAGGAGCAAGGCGAAGCACAGCGCGAGGTGAACTTCATCTTGCCAGCCATCCTCAGCCAGGCGCACGGCCGCGAGTCCTTCGACGAGAGGGCCGAGCGCCTGCACTGCATCCAGCCGGGCACGAGCCGCGAGGACACACCCCGTGTTTTCTCCTCGAAGCTCGCCCGGGTCACGCGCTCACCGGAGTGCGACGCCAAATCCACCAGGTGGGACCTGGAGCTGGTCAAGCACGAGGCGTCCAGAAACTGCGTTGCCAGCGGCTCGAAGCGCGTGCACACGCTGCCCAAGCGCGCGGGCGATCTGACGATCGCTGGTGAAAAGGAGCGCGTCGACAAGCTCGCCGGCCACATCGAAAGCGCCCTCGGCAAGATGAGGGGGGGGCTACGACGCTTTCGCCAATGACGGCGCCCACCAACACCGCAGCGCCGACGGCGCCGCGACGCTCGGCCAGGGCGAGCACGTCGACGCCCCGACGCCGACCAGGCACGCCGACGCGGTCAAAGCGAAGGCCGACGAGCCTGCGGGAGGTCAACTACCCGACCTCTTCGTTTCCTCGCTGGGAGCAGTTGCTTGCGCTATGCCCACCCAACACCGCGTCGCAGCGCGCATTGCGGCGCTGCGACGGCCCAAAAACAAGCCGTTTATACGACGCGCTACGCAGCTCAAATCTGCGGCCCTCGCCACGCAGACAATCAAGGCGCGCGCCGCCTCTCCTGCCATGGAACGCGCTGGCCAGGTCTGCGCGCACGGCGACGGGCCCTTCAAGAGAGAGGAGGGGGCCGGGCACGGCCCGACAGGCGCCGTCGCCACGCGCCTCGGCAAACGCCGCAGCCTGCCACTTGCTCGACGCCGTGAGCCACCCACGCAAACTTGCGCGCAGGTCTTCATTCGGCCCCGAGAAGCTCGCAGCACGCGGCGCAGATGACGGCTTGCGGGCCCACCCCCTCGCGCTCCACGAAATAATCCGGGGCCCGGTCTCAGCCGAGGAAACCGGGAAGTTAAGAGAGGAAGGAGGCTTCGCCATACCGGCAACCCTGGTCCTGGACGGGATTTCTGTATTCGCGGCCATCGCCATGGACCCTGTGCGCCAACCTTCAGAGCACAGCATGGCAGGCCACCTGCGGCGGCTCTCCGACCAGCTCCGCACCGAGCAAATCACGAACACGCCGCGGTGCGATACCCCCGACATGAGAGGGCCGACCCCATGACAAAGGGGGGCATCGGCCGGGAGCTGATCTCGGACGCGACGCGCGGGAAGCTCACGCACGACCACGCCGCGGTTAGATCGAGCGACGAGAGGCGCAAGAAGACCGTGTCCTGCTCCCGCACAGCGACCGCAGGACGGATTAAGAGAACGTTTTGCTGACGGGATGAATAGCCGGAAGTTTGATTACATCTTACCGCGGCAGCAGCTGTCACTTTTCGGTTTGCGGCATCAGCTGTCATTTGTCGGTCCGCGGCATCAGCTGTCACTTGTCGGTCCGCCGACTCGGCCGTCACTTTTCGGTCCGCCGCGCCAGTTGCGACTTCCCGACTGCAGAACGTAACATCGGCGGCCGTACGTCGCGAACTGCGTCGTGAATTGCGTTCGCGAATGTGACATAGGGAGAAGCAAAGTCTGCTGCATAGCGCGAACTATGTTCGCGACAACGGCGTAGCAGGACATCTGAGAGCACGCCACCACAAGGCAAAGTACGTCCGCAAATGCGATTAGTGAGTCATGCAACGAGGAGATGTTTTCATGAAGTGCGCTCATGGAGCAGCAGATTGTTGGCACGCAGCACGTTAAACCTCATAATGTGCTCCTCCAGGTATCTGCTCTCGACGTTCCTCTGGTATTTTTCGAATGAAGGACCAGTAGAAGGCCCCTGGTTAGACTCACCTTTTGTCGCGGGATGCGCCAGCCTGCTCCGTCTAGCTCTAGGAGCCCTGCCAGGCGCAGTTGGCGTCCCCACCATCGCGCGCCGTAGAAGTTTTCTGCGGATGGTGCCTTGGGACGCCACGAAGTCCGGCAATTCCCGGAGCGTACCGAGTTCGGGCCTACCTATCACGCTGCGAATGTTTACGAGGCCCCGTTGGTTGCGGCACGGCTTGCGTGCTGTAACAGACGGGGCACAGGCAGACTCGCTTGAGCACCGCACTCGAACGGTATCTTCTGTCACTGTTCGGTCCGCCCTCCTGCAGCTTTTGCCTTGTCCGATTGTCTCCCTTTTCAATTGCCGTTTCGGCCAGGGCGCACGGTAGGTTACAACCTATCGTGCCCTTGTTAGACGCGCATTCGATTCTTGATGACCGTATTCATCGCCTAGCGCAATAACATCCGTTTTCATAGTTTCCTCCTCCTCCTCCCCGTCCTCTTCCCTCCGAGGCTCCTCTCCCCCCCTTCCCCCTCCACCTCCTGCACAGGTGTCACCGCCCAGATAGAGGCGAAGATCAGTCGGCAGGCTCGGGAGGGGCAGAGAATCACAACGCACATAAAAAACATGTTCGGCGCAGCACCACGGCAGGATCGTCCCTCTTCGACGCGGCGGCAGACGTTCAAGGCTAAACGCTCTCACGAGGACCGCTTCGGGTTTTGGGACCCACAGGAACCAACCCTTGGCAGGAGATCATCACATGCGAAGGGGCCGATAGCCTCTGGGGGAGGGGGGGGCATCTGAGAAAGGAGATCGTTCCAGAGACCTAAGCCGATGTCGTCAAGGCAGGGAGTTGTTGAACCCTCCTCTTCCCTCGTGTTCCATCCTGGGTCTCCCCCCTTGTCGCCCCTACATTAGCATCAGCGTCACCATCATCAGCAGCAGCACCATCCTCATCAGTAGAAGTAGCATTACCATTATGTGTGCCACCGCCGTCGCCAACATAACCAGCATCGTCAGACCAACAGCAGAATGATCATGATTATCCTAGCCATCCCTCTTAATGATCCTCTCTCGTCCGCTCCGTGTTCCTCCAATGTCCTCCTGCTCACATCCCCTTTGCCCTTCACACTTCATTCCTCCTCCTCTTCATCTTTCTCCCCCTCCTCCTCCTTTATGGATTCGTATGAGTATGTGCTCTCCTCCTGCTCATCTGTCTCGTCCTCCTCCTCCTCCCCCTCTTGGACCTCATCCCCCTCCTCTTCATATTCCTCTTCGCCCTCCTCCTCATCCTCCTCCTCTCCCGCCTGTTCCTCATCGTGGTCCTCCTCTTCTTCCTCCTCCTCCTTCGTCCCCCCTTCCCCCTCCTCCTCCTCCTCCTCCTCATCCTCCTCCTCCTCTTCCTCCTCAGCATCCTTCTCCGTATCCTCCTCCTCCTCCGCATCTTCCTCTTCCTCTTCCTTTTCCTCCGCTTCCTCCTCTTCTTCTTCTTCCTCTTAGTCGTCATAGTAGGATTCGCCCTCATCAGTATCCTCCTCCTCTTCCGCAGTGTCTTCCTCCTCCTCATCATCTGCATACTCATCTTCCTCATCATCATCCTCATCAGTTTCATCATCATCATCATCGTCATCATCAGCATCATCAGTATCATCATCATCGTCATCATCATCAGCATCATCAGCATCATCATCATCATCAGCGTCACCTTCACCAGCAGCAGCACCATCCTCATCAGTAGAAGTAGCATTACCATTATGTGTGCCACCGCCGTCGCCAACATAACCAGTATCGTCAGACCAACAGCAGAATGATCATGATTATCCTAGCCATCCCTCTTAATGATCCTCTCTCGTCCGCTCCGTGTTCCTCCAATGTCCTCCTGCTCACATCCCTTTTGCCCTTCACACTTCATTCCTCCGCCTCTTCATCTTTCTCCCCCTCCTCCTCCTTTATGGATTCGTATGAGTATGGGTTCTCCTCCTGCGCCTCTGCCTCGTCCTCCTCCTCCTCCTCCCCCTCTTGGACCTCATCCCCCTCCTCTTCATATTCCTCTTCGCCCTCCTCCTCATCCTCCTCCTCCTCTCCCGCCTGTTCCTCATCGTGGTCCTCCTCTTCTTCCTCCTCCTCCTTCGTCCCCCCTTCCCCCTCCTCCTCCTCCTCCTCCTCCTCCTCCTCCTCCTCCTCCTCCTCCTCCTCCTCCTCCTCCTCTTCCTCCTCAGCATCCTTCTCCGTATCCTCCTCCTCCTCCTCCGCATCTTCCTCCTCATCTTCCTTTTCCTCCGCTTCCTCCTCCTCCTCTTTTTCTTCCTCTTAGTCGTCATAGTAGGATTCGCCCTCATCAGTATCCTCCTCCTCTTCCGCAGTGTCTTCCTCCTCATCATCATCTTCATACTCATCTTCCTCATCATCATCCTCATTATCATCATGATCATCGTCATCATCAGCATCCTCATTACCATCATCGTCATCATCATCAGCAGCATCATCATCAGCATCATCAGCATCATTATCATCATCAGCATCATCATCATAGTATTCCTCATCCTCTTCCTCCTCCTCCTCTTCCTCCGCCTCGTCATCATCATCTTCATCATCAGCATCATCATCAGCATCAGCATCATCATCCCCCCTCCTCATCCTCCTCCACCTCCTCCTCCGCATCCGCCTCCTCCTGGTCATCATCCTCCTCCCCGTCCTCTTCCTCAGTGTCATCTTCTCATCCTCCTCCTCATCCTCCTACTCTTCGTCCTGCTCCTCATCTTCCTCTTCCTCCCCCTCATCCGTCCCCTTCTCCTCCTCATCCTCTTCATCATCGTCCTCCTCCTCGTCCTCCTCCTCCGTCTGTTCGTCCTCGGCCTCCTCCTCCCCCTCCTCCTCCTCCGCCTCCTCATCCTCCTCCTCCTCCTCCTCCTCCTCCTCCTCCTCCTCCTCCTCTCCTCCCTCCTCCCCCTTCCTCCTCCTCCTTATCCTCCTTGTCCTCCTCATCCGTGTCCTCCTCCTCTTCCTGCACATCTCTCATATTCGTCCTCCTCCTCCCTCCTCCTCCTTCCTCCTCCTTCTCCTCCTTCTCCTCTTCCCGTTCCTCCTCCTCGTCCTCCTCCCCCTCCTCCTCCTCATCCTCATCAGCATCAGCATCAGCAGCAGCATCATCATCAGCACCATCGGTATCATCATCAGTACCATCCGCATCAGCATCCTCATCATCATCATCGGCAGCAGCAGCATCGGCATCAGCATCATCAGAATCAGCAGCCTCAGCATCAGCATCAGCATCCTCATCATCAGTATCCTCAGCATCAATAACAACAACAATATCAACATCCCTATCCTAATCATCATCCTCACCCTCATCCTCAGTATCATCCTCATCCTCATGCTTCTCCGCGTCTCTCTATCTCGCTCTCTCTCTCTCTCTCGCCCTCTTGCTGTCCTCCTCATCCGTGTCCTCCTCCTCTTCCTGCACATCCTCTTCATATTCGTCCTCCTCCTCCTCCTCCTCCTCCTCCTCCTCCTCCTCCTCCTCCTCGTCCTCCTCCTCTCGTCATCATCTGTTCTTCCTCCTCCTCATCCTCCTCCTTCTCCTCCTTCTCCTCCTCCCGTTCCTCCTCCTCGTCCTCCTCCCCCTCCTCCTCCTCATCCTCATCAGCATCAGCATCAGCAGCAGCATCATCATCAGCACCATCGGTATCATCATCAGTACCATCCGCATCAGCATCCTCATCATCATCATCGGCAGCAGCAGCATCGGCATCAGCATCATCAGAATCAGCAGCCTCAGCATCAGCATCAGCATCCTCATCATCAGTATCCTCAGCATCAATAACAACAACAACAACAATATCAACATCCCTATCCTAATCATCATCCTCACCCTCATCCTCAGTATCATCCTCATCCTCATGCTTCTCCGCATCTCTCTATCTCGCTCTCTCTCTCTCTCTCTCGCCCTCTTGCTATCCTCCTCATGTTCCGTATCCCTCCTCTTCCTCCTCTTCCTTCTCTTCCTCTTCCTCTTCCTCCTCTTCCCTCTCAGCCTCATCTTCCTCCTCATCCTCCTCCTCCTCCTCCTACTCCTCCTCAGCAGCATCAGCAAGCAGCAGCAGCATCATTATCCGTATCCTCATCATCCTGACCCTCATCATCATCCTCAGCATCATCCTCGTCCTCCCCCCTTTCCCTTCCCCCGATTCCCCCGATTCCCGCGCTCCCTGACCCGTGCCTACACGGAAAACAGATCCAAGCTTGTCCCCACGCTGTCGGGGAGAGAGAACAATTTCAGAAGCACATGATCCAGACGAAGGACCCAACCACATGTAGCTGCGAGTACCGCAAGGCGGGTGATACGAAGGAGAGAGGCGAGCATACTACGATATGGCCTCTTTTTATGGTCAGCGCGCCACAAAAAGCGTTCATTATGATGTTTTGGCTTCATTTCAGCCCTCCCAGATCCAGAGATGAGACTCGCTATGGCGTTCTGGTTCGACTTGGTCCACAAATGACACTCGCCACGGCGTTCTGGTTGGATTTCAATTCAAAGATTCCTCTCACCTGAATCTCCACAGGTAGGGCCGAGAATTCTGGCTCGATTTCAGCCGTCACAGGTCCAAATAACTGCGCAGGGGCATAGGATGCTCACCATTCCAGACGTCCTATGTCCAGAAAGTGCGGCCTGGCCGTAGGCTTGTCACCATTCCAGTTGCCATAGGTCCAGAAAGCGTGGCATAGGATTATCATCGTTCCAGTTGTCATAGGTCCAAAAAGTGTGGCAGGGGCATCGGAATCTTCCCATTCTGGCTGTATTAGGTCCAGGAAGTGTTGCAGTGGCATAGGATTCGCACCGTTCGATTTGTGTTAGGTCCAGAAAAGGTGGCCAACGCACAATATTCCCCAACCCTCCTTGGTTGGGTATTCGTTTTGAATAGAGCAGTGTGGTCTCCACTCCCTCCTTCCTTCCTTCCTTCCCGCCTCCCTCTTGCCTCCTCCTGTCTTGCCTGCGGGGGGCTGCGATCTGTGAAACTGTCGCCACTTTCGAGGCCTGCTGGGGGACCCAGCACAGTGACGCCACACGCAGATTCAAATTAGACCTCGCCATCCCTGGGGGGCTGCGATCTGTGAAACTGTCGCCACTTTCGAGGCCTGCTGGGGGCCCAGCACAGTGACGCCACACGCAGATTCAAATTAGATCGCCATCCCTGGGGGGCTGCGATCTGTGAAACTGTCGCCACTTTCGAGGCCTGCTGGGGGGCCCAGCACAGTGGGCCACACGCAGATTCGAATTAGACCTCGCCATCCCTGGGGGGCTGCGATCTGTGAAACTGTCGCCACTTTCGAGGCCTGCTGGGGGGCCCAGCACAGTGGGACGCCACCGCAGATTCAAATTAGACCTCGCCATCCCTGGGGGGCTGCGATCTGTGAAACTGTCGCCACTTTCGAGGCCTGCTGGGGGCCCAGCACAGTGGGCTCACCGCGGATTCAAATTAGACCTCGCCATCCCTGGGGGGCTGCGATCTGTGAAACTGTCGCCACTTTCGAGGCCTGCTGGGGGGCCCAGCACAGTGACGTACACACGGCGGATTCAAATTAGACCT